AAAAGCGGAAAATGTGCAATTATCGATTCTTTAAACATTATTTTAACCCTGAATACAAAAGAAAACTGTACTGGCGTCCTGATAGAGTAGTTAACGCTTTCCGGTCAACTCACCACGGCTTCCACTCCGGAGGTAAGGGGGCAGAAACGCCCTCTCTGGCCAACCACAGAAGCTCCGGCTCATTTTCCGGATCAATGCCGATCTCTCTCGCATACTCCAGGATATCTGAGCACAAGGAGAAAACAGGATGAAGAGGGAAAAAATGAGTAATACAGATTTCCAAATCGTGCAATTCTGTCAACAGCATGGCTTCAAACCATGTATACATTATGCAAATATCAGAATATGTAGAGCCCATGTATAAGTAATCTTTCAGGAAATTTTTATAAAACTAAATAAAAATCCAAGTCCTAAACCTTCAGTTAGTAAGAAGGAGGAACTTCTGAGCTTTAGACACAGTTCCTATAGAATTTCTATAGGAACTAAAAAGCTCAGTTCTGTCAAAATAAATCATGTTAAACTAATGAAATTTAAGCAAGACAGATTCTGCTATTAGTTTAATAAAAGGTTTTTTGTGTCTGTGTGTGGCTGACATTTTAGAAGTTGTAATCAGCACATAGACAGTTAAAAATGCAATGTACAATGCAGAAGCATTAGAGCATGGATTCCAGTTCATTAAATAAGTTTCCCCCCTTCATACCCCTAAAAGCATTCAATTATATTTATAACGTCATGATATATGTGATTAATTAAACATAAAGTGTGTTTAATTTGTATTTTTTTCTTATTATTTGAAATAAAGGTATTCATTCTTTAATTTATCTATGGGAGTTGATCAAATTCAGATTAGGGTCCGGATTGGTTTTAAACCAGCTTTGATTCATCCCATTAAATGGGCCCTTTCTAAGGAAACTAAACCAAATTTCTTTCCTAATTGAACTGCATCAAAAGCAGCTAAGAGGTTGTGTAGAACAAGCAGCACCAAAGTGAGGGTCAGGACCCTTAGGGGTGCGTGAGGCTCCGAATTGAGGGTCAGGAGATTGTTTTAAAGATCATTGTAACCCCAGAGGTATATGGAGGAGCAAATTATATATTAAAATGCATAAATATGAAGGTATTATAGAATAAATACATGTAACAGGAATGAGGTAGATGTAACATTTAAGCAGCATGGAGGTCCATCCTCCTAAGCACATTAAAAATCAGTTGATAATGGTGCAGTTTCCAAAGACTCCTGGAAAGATCACAAAACGTCTTCAGAAAACACCTGAGTGAAAGTCTGTTTGCTTCCAATGTAAGCCTGTTTTTTGTCCACTAAACTTGTTCAAACTAAAGTTTCCAAATGTTTTTTTTTACCCAAACATCACTAAAGATGCACCCATCAGGTATTTGGCGGCCGATTACCAATCACAAAAAAGCAGTACCTGCCAATCCCAATATTTCCAATCACTGGTCACAGCATTAAATCCAGAAATTCTTCAATGCTGTTGTCTCATGGACATCAATGTTGTATTATAAAGTATAAAAAATAGGAGAGGAGAAACGGGCAAAATGTTCACAAGTTCCTTCGCGTTCAGTGTGAATGAACCAGTTGATACAATTTGAAGGCTATAAACTTTGTTTTCTCTGTGGATAAAAAACATTTTAAAAATCTGACTGTATGATCTGGTTGAATTTTCTCTGTAATGTGCCTTGAGGTGACACATGTTGTGAATTGGTGCTATATAAATAAACTGAATTGAACTGAAAAAAAAAAAAAAATAGATCATGGAAACCTGAGTCTGAGATTAGGACTTCATGCATATCCTGGCAGAGGTTTGATGCGATACATGTCACCTGATCAGCCTGCCTAGATTGGCCTGCTCTGATTGGCCTGCTCTGATCCATTTTAAGAACTCCAACACGATACCAATCAGCACACTAGCGGCCGACTGTGGTCGCTTACTGATCAATCAGTGCATCTCTAAACATCACGGACATGCTTAACAGAAGTCCGGTTGTTATTGTCTTTTAAGGGACTAATCAGCATCATGGTGCAAATGGGGGCCAAACTGCATGTTGCGCAAAGCTTTTGCTAAAAGTGTAATCGTCACAGATGCAGAGCAGACTGGAGTACCCATGTTTATGTTTGTTAAACAGGTGTCTTTATAGGACTGCGACTTTTCTTATCATTACATTGAAAAGTAAATAATTGAATCCTTATTTTCTCAGAGTACAGATTTTTTTTATGTATTTGTCCAGAATGACAGAAAGTTAGCTCTGATTTTTTAAATAAAGAAGACTCCATATTTGGGGGACTGTTAGATTAGTGGCTTGAGCTCAACTTATTACAAGGTCAAAACAATCATTCTTATGAAAGATTATCTTGTTGCTCAGGGACCCGGAGTGTGGGGGATGGACCCCGGTACTTGCTCTGAGAAGGTTGCAAGGTCCCGGTTAGATCCCCACAGCCTGCACTCTGGGTCCCTGAGCAAGACCATTAACCCCACACTGCTCCTCGGGTGCCGCACAATGGCAGGCCACTGCTCCGCAAAGGGGATGGGTTAAATACAGAGGTTAAATTAAGTTAAATTATAATTATATTTCTATCATCACTAAAGAAAAGTTGTTTTTTTTTAAATAAATATCTACTTGTCGATTGGTGAACAAGTAGTTCTGCATTTCACCAGTAGGTGGTGACATGTTCACATGGAGCTTCATGAACTGTGGGGATCATTGAAGCAATTTGGCCAAACGGCTAAATGCCTCAGAGGCTCCATCACTACAGATTATCATTTAAGTGGATGTTTCTGTTGATAATGTGTACCTTGTTCAGAGGGGATGTAGTTCTCATCGTAGTGCTCTTCAAGGATCAGTTGGTCTCCAATAAGAGCAGAATCTGTCATGGCTGCTGCAGAGAGAAAAGAAGAACTGGATCCAAGACAGCAGATTAAAGGCTAACCTAGCATAACACTGTGCAAAAACACTTTAACGGCAGACTAGACCATGATATTAAGGGGATAATGGAAGTAGATAACTTCAGTTCTACAAAGGAAGAAGTTAGCCCACCTGTGCCCAAACGGGTAGCTTTACCAATTAAACAACAACTTCAAAATATGTCACAAGGCATTATATAGCTGCGTAGCTGTTATATTCATGGGGTCTGCTGCGTAGGAAGGATAAAAGTGGGGAGCTATGGTGTTAGCTCAGCGCTAGCTCAACAGGCTTAGCAGTTAAGAAAGGCTAATTCTTAGCATTTTGTTTACCTTTCCTACATTAGCCGCCTCTTCATTGGGTCTTTTAAAAGAGCGCGGATAATTAAACCGTTCAATAAAAGCCGTGTTATAATCGGAGCGTAATAATTGTGAAACAGTCACAGCATAAACATCATCTCCATGGACGCTTTCCTCGTTTCCCGAGGCTCTGACTGGCTGAGCCACATGGGGCCTTCGAGTACACTCGGAATTTCTAGTAGTCAGCAGACAAAAAAACTCCGGTGACAATTATGTTAATTTAAAATATCATTAGATCAAATCATAATATTAAAAAACACACATTTTCTTGTTCTAAATCGATCATAGAAACATGACAAGGTTATAAAACGTCCGTTTTTTAATGTAACTTGAACGAAGCTATATTTTCTTGCAGCACTTAAAGCAGCCTCAGTCTCCCCAGGCAACGATGTCTTTGTTGTATTTATTTATTTATTTATTATTTTAATTTAGTAATTTTATTTTATATTTATTTTCCTATTTATTATAACTGTCATTTCAAAAGCTTTTTAGGCTTTAAAACAGTCAACATTGACAGTGTTAAAACAGGTGGCAGTCCTAAAGGGCAGGACTGTCAAATCCAAATTGAGAAACCATTAACTATTTAACCCGTTTTATCACATCACACCTTTTTAACATGTTATTTCTTATATTTTGGTGTTTTTTTTTATTTTGATGAGGACATGCTCCATATTTTCCTATTTTAGGTTCTAATCTCTACATCATTTCATCTCCACTTAAAAAACTTTAAATGACTCAGAAGGCAAAAATGCAAAGGGGATTTAATATAATTGATTTTTCTATTAAGAAAAGAAAAATCAATTTTAGAGCACATTTATGTTTTTTTGAATGACAGCAGTTTTGCAGCTTGAAGTAAGCTATAAGTAAAATGTGTTGGGATAACCAGGTTTGTCCAGAAGAGGGCAGATGAAAACATCATTTCACTGTTCTGGTCTGTGAAATGGGGTTCTTTTTACATTAAAAAAAACTTAAAGAAACAATTATTATCATCAGACTCAGACTGATTTCTGTAAAGAACATAAAGTTACCTAAGTTACCTCCAAAAAAGTATTAGACCTAGGATGTTCTGTCTGTCTGACATGAGCCAATGGACACATTTTGTGTGTTTGGGTAAAAAAAAAAAAAGAAAAGAAATATATATATATACATATATATATATATATAGTATTTAGTGGCTGGCTAATAGTTTTAGGATGAAAGAAGATTGTCTAATAATAAAAGTGTCTTAGAATGCGAGGACCATCTTTCTAAAGTCTGACAATGAGAGTTAAAAAAGGTAATTATTTCCCATATATTTCCCTCATATTGAATCAATTGTAGTGAAGTAAAGATCTGATTTATTTTTTATGTGAAAATTGTGTTAAATTTTAATCAATTAAAAAGGTAGATTAATTAGACCCATGATCACTGAGCGACCAACATGTGATCAACACTACAGTTAAGTGGGAGCAGAAGATGAATGGATGAATGGAGAAAAACAATAATTGTTCAAATCCCTTTATTAATGATTGACTGTGATGCTCAGTTTTAAATGCAAATGCATAATGATTATAGTACATGTGTTTTATATAAGAACAAGCACTTTATTACACCATTGATACCTTTGTGCAAAAATCGAATTCCTAGTTTTGTGACTAACGCTCTAAGAAGTAATTCTGTGGTTTCCAGAAATCTTCCACAGCTTTCCTACATCCATTGGCATAAAGCAACTCTCCTATCGTCTGTGTTTTATTTAAGTATCAGGGTGAATGGCCTCTTCATCTTGAGCAATGCTTTACAATCACAAACAGGCCTTGGAACTTAGATGACCAACACCTACGCAAAACAAACAACACCAGTGTGAGATTGCCCTTTGTAACAAATGAAGTTCTATTCAAAATACAAGTTAAATGATTCTTCGGGAAAACAGGTTTAGTTATATCTCTCTTAGGAGTCTTTATTCAGTGATTACATCATTTTTGAAGTCTGTACTTTGGCTAGGCCACACCAAAACCTTACAGTTTCTTGGATGTGCTGCAAAACTCAAGCAGTACTTGAACTAAAGATCATAAGCTAATGGCAGAATTTTCACCTTAAAGAATCTGGCTTGATGTGTTTGTGTCGGTATGCATTTGGACATTTACATGCATGTATGTAGATGAATGTGTATATATATACATTTTTATATAGATAAAGGAAAATGTCGCCAAACAGAGGTAAATATTGTAAGTACAGTTTCGTATGATAAATATATAATTATATATATTTATAATAATAAATTATAATAATAATAATAAATTTATATATTTATAATATATAGTATTATAATGTAAGTTCCACTTTCAGGTTACGTAAGTTTCCCTTGGTGAGGGGCGATGGAAGCTGGATAAGGCTAGACCTTTTTGAATATACAGCCAAACTCCTCCGGTTCTCCAAAGCATCCAGTCCAGGTAGGCTGGGTTCTTCACTTGGCGAAATTGAACACAACCATTGGCTTTGTCTGAACGTCTGCCCTAATCTCTAACCCAGTGGTTCCCAACAACCCTGGTCCTCGGGGACCCCTCCCATGAATGTTTTAGATATGTCTCTGCTCCAGCAAACCTGATTCAAATTATGGCTGTTAATCATCCATTAATTTCTGTTGTGATTAGTGTTGTGACAATACCGATACCAGTATCGGGTAGGGCCCCAATACTGCAATGCAATGGTGGTATCAGTATCTTCGAGTACCAACAAATAGGGCCATTTTGAGAGCCAAGAGTTTATTCAACTATTGTCACCCATTCCAGGTAGTCAATAAAGAAGTTCTACTGGATTCACTTTGTATTAGTCTTTTTTCTGCTTCACAAAGGTAGGCAGCAGCTTGACAAAGCCATGATGGCAATTATTTTACATCCAAGTAATATGCAGTTCTTCATATATACACACACATCAATTTCAAACAGATTGTATCGGTATGGTATCGGCCGATACTGCACAGCCAGGTATCGGGTATTGGTATCGGGACGCAACACTAGTTGTGATGTAACAAGAATCACCTGCAGGACAGGGGTCATTATAGTGGACATAATGGTGAACTCGATTATGTGACCGTAAGTCCAGCGCCCCCGCACAGTGCCTGCACCATCTTTGTGCTGTCTCGCCCCAAAAACAAATCCCACGATGCTTTGCAGGGAGAGCACTTGCAAAGCATTCTAGTATATATCTGCTAGTCTGGTGACCATGGATACACAGTACTTTTTAAGGTGCATTGTGAAAAATTTTGAGTCCACTAATTTTTTCAATCCATTAGACATTAGGACACTCATATAAAATAGCGAATCGCCCTATATAGGGGCTAGGGCGAACGTTCAGACACAGCCGTGATGTTTTTNTAGCTTTTCTTTCTTCCCTCCCCATCCTCTGGACGGACGGTGTCGTGTTTATACTTTTGCAAATGATCCGGGCCTTGGTAATGAATTCCTATGTTCTGGTCCTCTTCTCCTAGTGGTTTGGAAACACTTTCGTTTTGGCAGCTTTTCTGAACTTGCAGGGGTGTTTCTGTTTTTGAACAATTTTCCCTTTACATGTTTTTGTTCATCATTTATGTATTTGCAGCAGGTTTTGGTTTTGTAGGGTGTTGCTACTTTGCTCATTTCCATTTTCTGTGATTTCAGCTTTTCTTATTTGCAACATTTTCCCTTTGCATGTTTTTTTTCTATATTTGTATGTTTGTCTTTTCAAAAAAGTTACTTGGTTCCAAGTGTTTCCAAGTTTGAAGATGTTTCGCTTCCCATCCAGGAAGCTTTTTCAATTCAAAAAGTCAGAATTAGCGTTGAGTAGCCCAAAAACTTGTTTTGGCTTAGAAAACATGCAATTTGAAACAGAATCCAACGGATTGTTTTAAAGATTTTTGATGACTGAGAATCTTCACCAGCATATGTTTGTCTTATTTTTATGTTTGCGGGACCTTTTGAATTTGCTTGATGTTTGCACCCCTTTGCCACCATATTAAAATGATCTTTTTATCCCTTGCCACACTAATAGCTGTCATTTATATTATTTTTCATTTGTTCCCTTAGATCAGAGATGATGTTCTACTTTTTAAGATCTTTTAACCTTCTTTATGTTGTCTATAAGGTTTTATTTAATCAAATATTTGATTCTACAGGTCTAGTAATCTCGGTTTGATTAAGAAATGGAATCAAATACATTAATTCAAGTAAATTTGTGATTTAAATTATTTTTCTCATAGGGCTTGGTTGATCTGGTTATTTTAATTGTTTAAGAAATGGAATCAGTCATCTGTATGATGACTGGAAGTGTAGAGAAAACACCACAAAAAAAAAATAAAATAAAAATGGAGGTAAAGATAATGAAAGTTTAGGGCTTTAAGAAATCTGAATGTTTTTTTTCCCATTTTGTTCTATAAGAGTGGCTTCATTTAAGTTTCACCCGATGAAAAGCTTTGAGAAACAGCAGTTGAAGTCAATGAGGAGGTGGAATCTATAGGGATGTCCAACACCATGTTGGGAAAAAAAAAAAACACTGGCATCTTTCCTGACAATTAAAGCAATTAGGTTTTAATACTTTAACCTCTAAAGAGTATAAAGTTTCAATGAGGTTATGACATATCCATCTTGGTAAGTCCCAACATTAACTGATAACTGATAAACTCGTTTATCTAAGAAACAGGATCTAGAACAGCAAATGGCAGCAGAAGCTCATAAACCTCGACGATAATGTTCCCTATCACTGATCAAAGAGCCAACTCACTGCTTGCTCATTGCCGTAGAGGCTGTTCAGGTGTGCCCTCCACATTCTCTGATTACATTAGCATTTTTTTTAGCTTGCTGCCATTTAAAAAAACATGGATACCATGGTTATATGAGATGAGTCATGTTGAGATGCAAACGCTAAATACGATCTTGTGCACCGTGATCTTTGTAGCCTACAAAAGATTGATCTATCTCTAGATGTAATGATTTGGTTATGAAACCTTTGGGGTCATTGACTTGATCGAATCATCTAATCTATGATCTGGTTCTGATACAAGTTCAAAAACCTACTTTATGCTTCCCTATAATAAGAAAAAAAAAATTTTTCTAAACAGTTAAGCCCCATGGTAACTCTGGAGGGGCTGTAGAGCTCAATTATCCGGTTAATACAAACCCTCCATAAATCAGTCATATTTACATATACTTTCATCCATAATTAGGACACTTCTGATGGGTTACACTGGATTTTATTTAGTGGTATTAAAGGAAAGGAAGCTGAAAACATACAAATTCTTCCTTAACTTTATGTATCTCAGCTATCTAAGTTCAGAGTGGATTTTCTTGCCTTGCTGTCTAGCTGTCCAGCCCTCGGAGCTTTACAACTAAAAATGCCAGCTCTGCTAGAGAGAATTTGTAATAAATATCTGTATTAAGGAAGAAGGGATCTCAGCAGATGGGATATTGCAAAATCTCACCATACAGTTAAAAAGTTTTGCGTATAGCCGTTTTTAGTGCTGAGCGCTATGGGGGAAATAAGTGCAGGCAAACTGTAGCTTACAGCTGAGATAACCTCCCCTGCTGGTCTGAGAGCAGTGCTCCATCAAGGAGGCAGCTGGAACAATGAGTTGACCTTTGAACCCCAACTAGCACATGATGGAATGGTGGATTTTCTGATTAAACGTTTAGCAACTCCATGTGATTACCTTTCATCTGTTGATGGAAGTAGTTCACGATCATCAGGATAAACCTTAAATTTAAAGAGAAAAAAAGATCTAATCAGAGCAGTAGAGGAGGCAGCTGTTACCCCCCCCAACCCAAAAAAGAAAACAGTCTTAAGCAATACGACAGCAATAATTTACACAGACACAGATCAGCGTGGATGCTGATCCAATGCACAGCAATGCAAGAAGTCTCAAAGGTTAGTGTTCCAGCCTGTGACTTTTGCGACATACCACAGACGTTTTTCAAGATCCTGCAAAAAGATTTGCTGAGATCCCAATTTACTTTTAGCCAATCAAGAATGGAGAATTCAAGATTCTGCAAAATTTTGCAAAATCCTTAAAAAAAAAAGGCTTTATTCTGTTTTTGCTCTTTCAAGATGAAAAATGATTTAAGAAAGAGCATTAGATGAAGGAGGTACAGTAAATGTTACATGTCAGATAAAAAAAAAATACTGCTCATTTTTTATTTTCTATGAAAAAAAAATATATATATAACGGCAGTTTTTATTAACTACAAGGCAAATAAAGTCTTTAATGCAAATGTCTGCCCAAACCCCCAATGTAAAATACTTTCAGTTTCTCAGCTTCTCTTGCAAATCGGTTTCAAACAAATCACATTTTATTTATTTATTTATTCGTTTATTTGATAGGGACAAGTATGTTCCATGCATCATGTCACACACTACAACATTTTAGCTAAGGCTAATTCTCAATGCCTGTCCCCATTTTATCAGGGATGGGGGTTTATTTGTTGGTCTGGTTATCAAGTTGAGCTTTAACTGAATAAAATGTCTGCTCAATAATGCAATCAGGGGAAGAGAGAGAATAAGGAGATCAGACTATGAACCTGGCAAAGCTAATGAGACTTTAAATTAGGTCTTAGCGGTATATGCTAACAAATTAGCTGACTAGAAGAACAAAAATACTGTCTACTAATAAATTTGGTGAGAAAATGGTTTGATCAGTGTGGATTATTGCCAGATTCACAAAAAAATGTCACTTTTTTGTAATTATGAAATTTTATTACATTGCAAAAACCCATTTAATTTAATTTCATTTTCAAGCTAAATTAATCACATAAATAAACCCATTAAATAAACATTACATGGTGCAGACTAATAATTAAACTTGAATAACGTATTTATTTTAAATACATAACAATCGGATTTGTGTATTGATAATTATTACCAATGAGTGTATTTATTTTAAATATGTGAAGTTTATTTGTTTGAATTACATAATAATCAGGTTACCTTTATGAAATTCAGACAATAAAACTTTATGTATTTGAAATAAATGCTCTAATTAGTATTAAATCTGATTAAGTATACCTATTTTTTACTGAATAGATAAACCAGATAATTGTGTATTTTGAACAAATAAGCTTTATTACAAAAATGAACATGGATCATGTAAGGTTTATTGATATGTTAATATTATCCTAAAAAAAGTAAATGGGAATTTCTTGTTTAATACATTTACATAAATCTTAGAATTTGGGTGAAATATTTCTGTTAGTGCACATCAGAAAAAAAAAATAGTTGAGCCACCAAAAAACTTCCACAGTACAGCTATAAAAGCTTCTCCTTCTTACAGTTAATCAGAATCAGTATCAGAATCAGAAATACTTTAATAATCCCAGAGGGAAATTACTCTAAACACAGTTTTCTCACCAACACAGTTTAATTAAACACTCAGGTTCCCCAAAAATAAGCCATCAACATTTTTAAATCAAAACATTGAAAGTCTTATTCCAACCAGCATTGTTTAGGTTTTGTTGAGTTTTTGTCATTTTTGCACAAAATAGTGGTTTAGATATTCTTATAAATGTAAAGTAGTTTTGTTAGCCTCGTTGGCCTCCTGCAAAACAACCATGTTTGGAGCTGTTAAAGGCCTAATTTCAACACATTTGCTGTTTTTAACAGGGATTATTTGTTTGACTTTGCCTTATTCCATCATCAGCATTGCATAAGACATGCTGAGGTGATGTTGCAACAGAACAGAGGGAGAAACTATAAGGTAAAATTATTTAAAAGTAACATTAACAGACATGCATCGACCATACAGTCCTGATATTATGCAAGAAAAGTGGTTCCAGTACTTCCAATGATTCCTGCACCTGGTGACCCTGCTGACACCATAGCTTCCACACTAGTCCTATGTTTGAAGCATTCTTGCAGACGTTTTAACCAGCTCTTCATTGATTATTTGTTTTAATTGACATATTTTGAAGCCTCAGAAGGATAGGTTCATTAGAATGCGTTGCACACATATACAGTATATGAGGAATTATATAAGCAATTGCTCCAAATCCTGAAATCACATGAAGCCATGGTGACAAAGTCCATTGGTGATAGGACAACAAACAACAGGCCAGAGCACATAACTCTTTGACCTATCAATCATCGCGCACACGCACGCACACACCCAAATACCGACACACACACACAAACAAACCAGTGGCAAATTCTTAAATCTGAAAACTTTTATAATTGTATTACGATGCTTTCTGCAGCTCTGGATTAAACTGCCTGTTTTTTAAAGTGGGATGATATGTGTTTGTTTGGCTTCTCCATTCAGGAGCTTTTGATTTAAAGCCTTTGCACTCCAGAGAGCTGTTTGCATCAAGTCCATTAGTTCTGTGTGCTCACTGTTGTTTTTCTTGGCAGCAGTTTTGAAAGAAAAATGAGTGAAAATAATACGCTGTTGCAAATACCTTCAGTCAGCTTTTCTGCTTGCATTGATTTAGTGAAAAAATATATAGAGATATAATTAAAGTGGATAAAAGTCACATTTCCTCCTTGATTCCTGGAGCTTCTTGGCTTTGTCTGTTGCTTTCATGGAATGCCTTGAAGAAAAGAGAAATCAAGAGAAAAAGGAAAGGAAAACATTCTTGGAAGGATCTGACTGGAGGAACAAACACTGTAATCGTGATACCAGGCCGTTTACAGGGCTTTTTTTTTTCTTGCCAGATCTGTTGACGTGTGTTCCAGCGTGTGATGCCTGATCTCCTCGCAGCAGGTGACCGTTGAACTCTCAACCCGATCCCCCTGCTGAGGAAGACGGCTTGGGGGTGAGGTCCACCTCCACGGAGACACGCAGCCAACACTGCTCCACTCCTCCTTCTCCCCCCCCCTCCTTCACACAGGACTCACCCCTGATCCAGGCTCTATAAAAAGTCTGCTCCGGCTGGACTCGCTCAGTCTCGTCACCAACTCCATCAGGTAAGGCAAGCAGCAGCTGGGACAGGAACTGGAATTTGCTGGGGGATAAGAGGGGGGAAAAAAGACCTTTCAGAAAGTTTTAAAACTTTCTTAGAGTTTCTATTCTCAACTTTTGAATGAGTGGCTTAGGTATACAGTTCTGGAAAAAGTTTAAGTCTTTTTTTTTTAATGGTAGATTTAGGATATTTCCTTCTTTTTGATTGTAGCATCAGGTTAGAAACTGCATGGCTTGAGCTGGTATCTACATTTAAAGATGTCTCTAAACCTATTTGCTTCAGGATTGAGAACGTCTTCCAACCCGGACAGCTGACTTGCTAAACCCTAAAACAAGATTATGAAACTGTTCGGATTTTATCGTCTTAAACTGCTTTGCTAATCTGCTCAGATTATACCTTCTCCCAACAGGCAGCCATAATGTTTGCTGCCAGCTAATTTAGGCCAGTTTGGAGTGTTTTGTAATGGATTCCTAATTTTGAGACGATAACTCTGCAAAAGATTTATCAGCGATTTCATGGAAGCATTACAACTTTTCTTTGTGTGTTTTCTCCCTTCGTCTTTACGATCCTGTTTGTTTTTTGACCGCAGACCACCACCATGAAATTCGTGGCTCTTGCTCTTGCTGTTCTCCTGGCAGTCGGTGAGTTCAAGAAACAATCTTTTCAGAGTCCAGGAATCCGTTGTACATGTTTGACATTTTTCTTCTCAACCGTCACATTAGGCTCCCAGGCCGCTTCCCTGCAGGCTGATGCCCCCTCCCAGCTGGCCCAGATCCGGTCTGCTATTGATGTCTACATGACACAGGCAAAGGATGGTGCCATCAAAGCTCTGGACCAGCTCGATGGTACTCAGTATGAGGAAATGAAGTAAGAAATCGCTTTCGACGCGCATTCTTATTGTTTAAACTGAGCCGTTATTGGTTGATGCCTCGTTCATGATTCATTTACTGCTACAGTAATATAGTCATGTGCCCCTCAACCTCTGTTTTCTCCCAGGGCTCGCATCAGTCAGCGCCTGGAAGAGATGTACAACAACGTCAAGCAGATGCAGGCCCAGGTTTCCCCTTACACCGACAATGTGGTCACCACCATCGCTGAGTCCACCGCCGACCTCCGTACTTCTATCCATAATGACATAGAAGCTCTGAAAACTGAGATCGAGCCCATGCGCGCCAAGCTGAGGGAGGTCCTCGACAAGCACATGGAGGAGTACCGCGTCCAGTTGGAGCCCATCATCAAAGAATACAATGCCAGGCACACCGCCGAGATGGAGGCTCTCAAGACCAAGATGGAGCCCGTTATGGAAGAGCTGCGTCAGAAGGTGGCCACCAACGTGGAAGAGACCAAACAGGCCTTGATTCCCATTATTGAGGCTGTGCGTGCAAGGCTTACCGAGCGCGTGGAGGCCCTGAAGGCATTGGCTGCCCCATACGTGGAGGAATACAAAGAGCAGCTGAAGCAGGCCTTTGGCCATGCACAGAACGTCAACACCGACGAGATCCACAACCTGAGGGCGAAGCTGCAGCCTCTTGCAGATGAAATCAAGGAGAAGTTCCAAGCCATGGGTGTAATCATCGCTGAAACCTTCAACAAAAACTAAATCCTCTTCGTCTTCCTTTAAACTAACCTCGCCTCCCTGTCTGTTCTAGTTCCATGAAAGCTGTCTCTAAGCCCCCTCCCGCCCACGCGCAAACAGACCACCTCAGAAGTGAATGTAGTATCTAAGTTATGAACAAAAATGGCGGACCTTCCTCCCCACCAAGCACGCAACTTCATGCACACATGCAAGCACGCACACAGAGACTCCTACGCACCTATCGCGCACATGTCTCCGTCCTCACATGTCACCTGCTAACATATCGTGAATGAATTGTGTGTGAATTACTACACAGGTTTAAATCGCTGTAACTGTGCTCTGAAGAAAAAAATACAGCTTAAATAAACATCTGACTGTTTATATGATTGTGTTTTTTGGAGTCAAATTTTTTTCAACCCTGAACCATGAAATAATTGACAGAAAATTCTATTTTTTTTTTTTATTAAGAGTTATCATTGAACTCTCTGAAAAATGAAAAAAAAGTTAAATTAGATCACTTATTTGCATCCATTTTGATTCATTAGGCATTTCTGTAGAGTATTATATACGTTTTCTGTTCACTACATGTGTCTGATTGTGTAAGTCGGGGTTTTTAAGATCAGCAAGATCACACTGATGATGCAGAGGTCTCAAAAGCTCATGTATCAAATATGGAACAATTGGTTTTAAAGGGTTAAGTATTTGAGACACTGCGTTAAAAAAATAGACGCTGACCTCTATGGTCTCTAAAAGTAAAAAAAAAAACATCAGGATTTCAAGAGGTCAGCAGTGATAACAGAGACCCCTTGAAAAGGGAAATATTAAAACCATCAGTTGTACTTAAAACTGTCATTCAGCTTATGAGATATTCATCCCTGTAGTACTGAAGGCAGTGATTAATGAGTTGATCAGAGAGGGAACCTGCCTATTGACAAACCGGAACCATGCTGGGATTTATTAGGCAGAGGTCTTTACTGCTTTGGATCCCTCAGGCTCCAACAATCAACAGCGTCCCATCACGGTGCCCCAATGAGGCTGAGCACCGGTTCACAACCAGGAGGCTCCTAAAAACTGCAAGCAAAATATTCATGGTTATTTAGAAGCATAGTCGAGTTGAACCTTTTATTTATTTTTATTTTATTTAACCTTTATTTTACCAGGAAGTCCCTTGAGATAAAATCTCTTTTTCGAGGGAGACCTGGCCAAGGGGCAGCAGTACAATAAGACATATAAAAACACATAAAAACAACTTAATAAAATCAATCATAAACTAGACTCTAGAATAACAGTTACAATTCTCTGTGCAAGCGGTTTTCAATAGTGATTTAAAATTCTGTAGCGGAATAAGAGTCCGTAATTGCAGGGAGTTTTGAATATTGTGCCACGACCATGGTGCTGCATAGAAAAAATGATGTTTTGCCAAGATCTGTGTTGATCCTGAGAATAGTGAAAAGAACACGACTTGAAGAGCGTGAGTTGTAACCACTGTTAGCTACAGACATGATGTGGCACAGGTATGGAGGGAGTTTACCCAGATGGTCTTGTAAATAAAAGTAAGCCAATGATGTTGTCTTCTGAGGCTTAGAGAGGGCCATGAAACCAGAGCATACAGTTCACAATGATGAGTCCTGAAGGCAGAGTTGGTGATGAAACGTAAAGCACTGTGATAAACTATGTCCAGGGAACGGAGAGCTGAGGAGGCAGCATTCATATATATGATGTCTCCATAGTCCAGAACAGGAAGGAAGGTGGTCTGAACAAGTCTTTTCCTCACTGAGGGAATCAAAGAGGATTTTTATTATTTTCTTTTAGCAGAACTTTAAAGCAGGCATCTCCAAAGTCGGTCCTCGAGGGCCACTGTCCTGCTGGTTTGAGAGGTTTCCCTGCTTTAGCACAGCTGATTATGACGATTGCTGTTGAACAAAAGCCTGTTAATCAGCTTTCAATTAAAATCAGCAGGAGCGACTTTGGGGATGCCTGCTTTAAAGCTTACATATGGGAGGGAGTGAGTGTCTAATTAGCAGGGGTGGAAAGTAACGAATTACATTAACTCACGTTACTGTAATTGAGTACTTTGTATGAATAATTTGTAATTTTTCAAATATGTAATTTTTTTTTTTACTCGAGTAAATTTTAACCTAAGTGGTTTTACTTCGCTACATTTAAAACCCCCTCACGTTACTGAGTAAAAAAATAAATAATTATAATAATACTGATGGTGAAAAAATTTAATGCAGCCGAAAATTTAAACTCCTGTGTTACGGAACCGACACTTAAAAAATAGAAAAAGACTTTTGACTTTTAACAGCACTTTATTTACACAATTCAAACATATAAACATTTGATGTAAAAACAAGTGTCAGTTAAAAATCACTATTAAAGTAAAACATTAAATGAGGAGCTTGTTGCGTTTTAGTGTGATTTCTGGTATCTTTTGGGCATTTAATTTTGTGTGCATTTTGAAAACTTTAAAATGTAGTTTAAATTTCTTTATTCCTATCATGGTGTTGTCTGTGGAAGTATGTTCTTTAGCCCAGCTGATCTTTTGCAAGTGTGGATGTCCACTGAAATACGCCTTGAAATCGATTAAAACACTTTGTGGTCAATTCGATTCATGACTCATCCTTTTTTGCATTAAATTACTCAAAGTAACTAAGTAACTTTTACTCAAATTACATTTTAAATGAAGTAATTTTGTACTTTTACTTGAGTAAATTTTGAGATGAGTAATTTTACTTTTACTCTGAGTAGAATTTAGGCAAAGTAAAGATACTTTTACTCAATTACAATTTTTTTGTACTCTTTCCACCTCTGCTAATTAGTATGGTGTTGAAAATCTGACTCTATGAATAATAAAGAGAGTGAGTTTCTGTCCTCATCTGTCCACACTCTCTAACAGCAAACGGTTCAGGGGGTTATCAATGTGCGTAACGTTAATTCAAGCAAAGCTTCAGGCTACACTGAGATCTGTGCTTCCTTTGAAAGAAATGCGCTTGTGTCTTTGCCGTTCTCGCAGCCCGATGCAAGCAGGTGTGTCCAGCTTTGATTATTTGGTGTCAGTGTTGCTATGAGTTTTGTAATGGATGGGGGCAGCTTAGAGGTCCCCAGTGAGGGTTCTGTGGTGTTTAAAACCAGCCGCTCAGAGGACCTGGATCTACACATCCTCTGAAACTTACAGGGGTAAGAACTGCTGCGTTGCCTTCATGCTACAGACCAAACTGGTGGGGTTTAAAGACGAGTTTTGCAGTCAGATTTAGAGAAACTTAAAGGACAGAATAAAGACAAAAGAATTAAGGCATCATTTTCCTTAAATTCGTCGGTTCATGCTTGGAAATATGAATGGTGAGTTTTTTCTAAAACTAGTATTGATATTATATGTGCTCCCCTTTGCTACCTGATGCCTTTGCAGCTTTGGTGAAACTCAAGTTATGATTAAATATTTGTTAGTAACCATGGCATAAATACAAAAATATTCAGCCAATAAAGGAAATTTGTATGTTCAAACTTGACATTTTATGACGGTTTATCCTAGAAATGCATGAAAATACTGAATTTTTGAGAGGATAAAATGATAATTTAGTGCATAAATGAGAAAGGGGAAACAGGATTTTAGAGAAAAATTTGTGACCCTGCCTATGAAAACCCAGCTAAAGTCATTTTTTGGTGAATCTCAACTTAATGTATAAAACCATTCTTAACATAGTGTAGAATGGTTTTATACATTAAGTTGAGATTCACCAAAAAATGACTTTAGCTGGGTTTTCATAGGCAGGGTCACATTTTAAGATGTATGTTGAATTTTATTGTCTTCTCTCTTTAGGTCTTCTGCTCTCTCAGAATTGTGAGTTTTCTCTGCCTGGCTGCACAGACGGAGGGCCGCTATTCAGCTCCAAAGCCCCCCAAGTCTGTGGGGTCAGAGTTCAGCTTGAGATGCAGGCACTGTGGAGGCAGTTTGACCAGCTGGGCACAGAAATGATAGTTACAAAATCTGGGAGGTGAAAAAAAGACACATTTTTTATTTGCTTGCTCAAAGCATAGTGTTGTTTTTTTTCCTTCTTTCTTACTTTATGTTGTTTTCCATGTTTAAAAAAAATGTAGGAGGATGTTTCCAACATTTCAGGTGAAAATCTCTGGGATGGACCCTTCAGCCGAGTATGTTCTGCTCATGGACTTCATCCCCGTGGATGACAAGAGATACAGGTTAGGTTTAATATATTGATTTAATACACAGACCGCTGCTCCTCTAGCCTGGGACAAACCTTCTTTGTGTTTGTGCTTCCTTAAGAGTCTTAACTCATTTTTAAAAAGTAGCTGAAGACATTTTTATTCCAATATACCCTCTCTGTGTTTTTAATAATGCTTTTATTTGATTGCATAATAATGTTCCCCCTCTCTACTGAAAATTATCTGACTGAAGAACTGAACTGAGCTTCATGATCTACTGGTTTTTACTTGTCAATATTCAGAATGACAGTTATGTTTTTTTTTCAGATATACATTCCACAGCTCCTCATGGTTGGTAGCAGGGAGAGCAGATGTTGCAGCCCCGAGCAGGATGCATTTCCACCCGGATTCACCGGCCCCTGGATCTCAGTGGATGAAGCAGACAGTGTCATTTGACTCTCTCAAGCTCACCAATAACTTGCTAGATGACAATGGACATGTCAGTAGATTTTTTATTTATTTATTACTGCTTATTAACACTTAGGAGTATAAAAAGAAAACTACATTATTTTACTGAATATTTTTAGTGAATTATCACCAAAAATGTTAATTTAAACGTTCTCTTTCTGTTTTCTTTGTCTTTCTTTTTGCAAGATGATTCTGAACTCCATGCATCGCTACCAGCCGCGCTTTCATGTCGTGTATGTGGACCCAACACCAAACAGTCATTTAAACGCATACAGGAACTTTTGTTCTTTCTCCTTCCCTGAGACACGTTTCATGGCCGTCACCGCCTATCAGAACCACAGGGTAAGTTCATTAGTATACAGACAGATGTTTAGATTCTGCCATTCGCTGTGTATTAAGTAAATTCGACATATTTGGATTTAGCGTTTCATCTTCTTCATGCTTTTAGATTACTCAGTTGAAAATTGCAAGCAATCCATTTGCCAAAGGCTTCAGGACCTCAGACCCACAGGCATGGTGAGTGTCAGTGTCCCCAATCCAACTTCTGTCCTTGATCAGCAGCAGAATCCTGACATGGTCTTCTTTTTTCCATCGTTATCAGCTGCTAAATGATAAGGCTGCAGGTTTTAATCACAGCTAATCTTTAACCTTTGCACAGTTTTTCACTCATACAGTCTCGTCTCCCATGTCAGGGAGGGGATTGATAAAGGTACAGTACATTCAAAGATTACATACATCCATATTCACAAATGAGTGCAAAGGCATGTATTCCTCTCGCTAGAATTATACTATGTTACTGCATGCAACAGGTGTGTACTTACATTTGTGTGCAGGGAGGGTACTGCAAGTTACCCTGTAGTATCCTGTCCACCAGATGGCAGTAGAGAGCCCCTTTCCACCAAACCTAAAGAGCAGGGAACTTGTTCAAACTCTTCAACCAGTGAGCGTTTTGCATCATATAACATTTCAAATCAATGTAGAATTGAATTACTTAAAGTCGCATGATTCATCCAGCAGTATACTTACATTAGTTATAATTTAAAAGGGTTAGGGTTATAAGCAATGTTAAGAGGCAATATCAAATCTGTGCAGATTTGGATTTAACATACAAAATACAGAAAAAACTAAACAGTTTGAGCAATTTCCTCTTGATTTACAGGACAGAAAACGTCCTGTTGTGTGACGCTGCAGGAGTGTGAGCTGCCTCACCCTAAGGAGGACACAGTGGAGCTCAACATGGAGAGCAAGGATGGGAACGGCTCAATGACTCCTGCAAATTTCCTCAGCATCCCTGTGTACTGGGACTATGCTGGACCACCTCATCAGAATATCAATAAGTAATATAAAATAAATAAAAAGGTTGAGTGTCTTAATTAGGTCCCAGGTGTCCTGCTTCTTTTCTTGTCACATTATTGTGTAGGCCTATGGTAGTTATAGATAAAAGATCCTTTAAACTATTTATCTGTCCTTTCAAAAAGTGGAGAAATAATACTTTACAGCTTTTATTATAACTTCAACTGTCATTTAAACCACTTAGAGTCACATAAGTGAGTTTTATTTCATCACAACAAATAAAAAAATACATTGGTGTTGTATTGTTTTAGCATTTTAGCACCAATTAAAACAATTAAATGAAGTCAATGTTGTTACTTTTGGGATTTTTGTAATGAAATATTAAGAGTGAAGAGGAAACAAATGCGTCCCTCTAACTGTCTATCAAAGAGACAGTGGGGGAATGAGTACAAGTTACCTTAAAGACTTCATTACCCATGATACTTTGCTTTCTTGACGTTTCCTCCAAATGAGGGGAGAGCTGGAGCATCATTTTGCTTTCAAAATAAAAGGCGAGAAAAAAACTGTTGCACGATTTTCAATTCACCAAAAGCTAATAGCATAATAGTTTGAATGTTTTTATATTTTTAATGTAAAAATTATGACATCATCATCATCACTATGTTCTGTCTAACTTAATTAGCTGTTAATAATTAGCTCAGTCATCCAGGTCACTTCACTGTGAATCAACCTGTGCAGATTAGACTCACCTTGTTAATTGGCTGGGTAGATTAAATACATGACATGGAGATGACTTGTTGACTCCACATTTCCCATCTCTGATGAATTATAGTAAAGCTATTTATATGTAGCCTAGTAAACTAGCCCCACCCACCAGCGACCAAAATCATTTTTGCCTGCGATTGGTCCAGCCTCGATCAATGCCCCAGGCCCTAGAACTGGCGGGCCAATCACAGCGCAGAGATCTGTTTTGAATTTCTGGATGCAAAGCGGGCGGGGTTTTGAAGTTGTGACGACAAAGCTGCGCGACGCTGGAGAAAACACAACAAGAAAGGAAGGCAACAACTATTGAACAGTAGCATGCACTGCGGTAGCAGCAGCTTTCAAGGGAGCACTCCATTGAAAGTTAAAAATTCTCTTTTCTGTTGCTGTTGTTCAATAAAAGTACATTTAAAGATCACTTGAGGTGATAATATTATACTTTAAAGCGTCACTATATGGTCCATTTACCGATTTAATGCGTAATTAAAAAAACAAATTTCCGAAGTTGAGAGGAACACGGCAACCAACGGAGCTCCAAGGCTAACGGCAGCCAGGGCTAACAGCAGCCAGCATGCAGCGGCCCTCTCTGATGGCGATTTTTGACTCAGCATTGGTATAAGTTTTGGAAGGATTAGACTTGGGGTTTTCGTTGAAACGTGAGCAGGAAAAGGCTCTACGCTCATTCATTTTTAAGAAGGACGTATTCGCCGTTTTACCGACAGGCTGTTTGTTTACACTCCCCCACCAGCTTTCTGTCACACTTATTACGTCACAGTGAGTTGCGCTCATTGGTCAGAGCATTAGCCAATAGGCACAGACATGGTTTGAAAAACAACGGGTTGTTCTCATCAACAATCTTCTGATGTCTCATTCATTGGGGCCAGACTAAATTACACGTTTAATCTTACATGTAGTCTGGATTCTGTCATTAAAATCAACATTCTGACTTTTTTCTCATATTAAACTGAAATAAACTTTAAAAATCAGTTAACTTTTTTTTTCTTGGCCCTTATCCTCTTCTGTAACATTAAAATCCAAAATTCTGAGAGTAAAGTCACAATTCTGATTTTTTTCCCCCATATTAAAGAGTAATAATATTCAAAAATCATTTAACTTTTTCCCCCCAGTGGCTCTAATCCTCTTCTGTAACATTAAGATCCAAAATTCTGAGAGTAAAGTCACAATTCTGATTTTTTCCCCCCATATTAAAGTGTAATAATATTCAAAAATCATTTAACTTTTTCCCCCCAGTCTTCTTCTGTAACATTAAGATCCAAAATTCTGAGATTAAAGTCAGAATTCTGATCCCACCCCCATATTAAACTGAAATAATATTTAAAAATCTGTTAACTTTTTTTTTTCCAGTGGCCCCAATCTTCTTCTGTAACATTAAGATCCAAAATCCTGAGATTAAAGTCAGAATTCTGAATTTTTACCCCATATTAAAGTGAAATAATATTTAAAAATCAGTTAACTTTTTTTTCAGTGGCCCTAATCCTCTTTTGTAACATTAAGATCTGAGATTAAAGTCAATAATTTGACTTTTTTTTCTCTACTGAAATAGAATTTAAAAATCAGTTAACTTTTTTAATTTTTTTTCAGTGACCCAAATCTTCTTTCGTAGTATTGAGTGTTGAAGTTGTCAAATTTGATTATACTGAAATTGAAAACTTGTGGATTAATATGTGAGAGCAACTAAATAGAGGCACTTTATTTTGAAAATCCATCCAGGAAACAGTTTGTATTTGTAGTTCAGCTTGACCCTCTCTGATGCCCGCCTCTTCGCAGATCTGAAGGATGCGGCGGAGTAGATGGAGGAGGAGGAGGAGGAGATGAAAGACTGGAAGGCGGAGAACAGCATGAACTGGACGGAAAACAGGGAGGATGCGGATTACTGTAGCCTGCCGGTCAGTCTGCCTTCTGCCGATGCTTTCGGTTGTTTAGCACCAAGATGTCCGGGTAAAGAGCCCCAGGCCTGCGGTCAGTTCATACACCGACGCGTGATTAATGCAGCGAGCGGAGCTGGGCGTTAATTGCGAGGACGGTTGTGGTTAGTGCGTGATTTAATGGAATAAATGATTTAATTTCAACTTAAAAACAGACCAATCAGACCGAATCTTGTGCCTTTCCGTATTGTGGGTCAACTGCCATAATGGTTTTAGCATCATCCCCACCTGACCTGTTCTCCAGCGCCGCTTCGCTCCTGATGCCAAACTGAGCGCAGCGCCGCCACTCAGACACAGCAGAGATTCTAACGGCTACTAATAAACATGGAGGCTCCGCTGCAGCCGCGCGGCTTCGCTGCGCTCTTCTTATGGACCGCGCTGTGCCTGCTGGGCTGCGGGCAACCCGCGCCGGACTCTCCGGGCCTGTCTCGAGCCATCCGCGTGCCACTGCGGCAAGGTGCGCGCGCTGAGCCGCCTGCCGCTGCCTGGAGACGCGGCGCCGCGAGCGCTTCTCCGGCGCGCAGGCGGAGAGGAGCCGCGGAGGGTGGTGCCAGCTTTGTGGACATGATCGACAACCTGCGTGGGAAATCCGGGCAGGGATATTACGTGGAGATGGCCGTGGGCTCCCCCCCACAGAAGGTAAGAAATCTATCCGTTCTACATCTACAAATCCTGTATTTCTCTCATAGCTTATAATAATTAAAAATATCAACCCTAGTCTGTATTTTGTCATTTATCTTGATATGATTCCAGAATTTTTCATAATATTTGTATTTAAAAAAATGTAATTTAATATAATTATGTTTTAATGCTGATTATAATAGTAAAGATGAAAATATTGGATGGTTTATCAATGTAAATACATTCTAATAACAAAAAAATGGGCTTTTGATTTACTCCTAAAGCAAGTTTTAAGTTTTTATTTTAACATTAAGGCAGGATTTTCAACTTGGACCTAAAAAGTTCTTCAAATGTACCTTGTGATTGTTCCTGTGTGTGGGTCGGCCCTGCCATGACAGATGCCCTGTGTGTGAAAGCGGCTGAAAAGAAACAGACGGATAATGGAACCATTAATTCTGCGGAGCGAGGACTGCCAGCTGGGTGCAGCTGCGGTGCACAGGCTGGCACACAGAGGGTGACGGCAAAGGAGAGGAGAAACACTTTCTCCCCTTTTATCTACTGTTTCTTTCATGCTTTCCTTTCGTTTTTCGTTTCCTGTTCTATTTACATTGCAGTTTCCATAAAATCTGTAATACTCCCTGCCTGAATTATAGTAAAGCTATTTATATGCATAAATCAAGCAGAACACCGTGCTGCTCCACTTGTGAAAGTAAAATCTGTTGGGCCCTTCTTGGCATCAAGACAATTATTCTTATTGCCACATCGCCAAAAGGAAAGGAGAAACAGAAAGGTATGAGGAGGAGAGGACGAACAGAACGAAGGAAAGGTGAGGAAGGAAGAAAAGGGAATGAGCAAAGAACAAAGCGATAAGTGTTGAAATGGAAAAGGGGAAGTGAATGATTGGTGTGTGGGGAGAAGATATATGTTACCTTTGTTTATAAGATGT